CATGCACATCCAGCCCTTCTCCAGGAAAAGTGAGCTGGGGGAGGTGGGAGGCAGGGGCTGAGCAGGTGGAGCGGGAAGTTGGCTCAGAGCAGCGATGCCCCACCTATGCTGGACCCTCTCTTCCACTCACACTTTTCCTGTCACAACAGTCAGAACATTTGAGACAAAACATGCTTAGAGCTAGTCCCCTACAGTCTAATTACGTTACTGACAAATTATGTTCATTACAAAATAAACTATTGGTCTGAGATATTAGAAGTTCTACAAAGCAAACCAAACTATTTCTAATTCATTTTTTAAACAAAATAATTGGAAATATTAGTGAGATGTTCATTTTAGCAGCCCTGTGTTACAGAGATCATGCAAAACTCTTCTTAGATTAAGACACACAGGAATCTTGACCAGAACATCATAGAACAGGTGAAAAAGAGTGTGACCAATGAAAGAACAGCTTCCAGTGTGAGATGGATATTGAGAGATCATGCTGTACACGCTGCACTACAAAACAAGTCAATCAGAGGCAGCTGGGATATGATGAAAATGCATTGTAATTGTCTGTGGGTATGTGAGTGACAGATGGCTGAATTGAGTGGAGGGATAGAAATAGTGTATTCTATTCGGGGGAAAAGGGAATACAATAAAAGTAGAAGTGTAATTTTTTGCAGCTGCAAAGGCTTTTTGACAGCAATTTGGTTCCAATCACTTTCAAGTAACACATGACTAGGACAGTAAACATCATTAAAATAATTGACTAGTCATCAGGAACAATAAACTAATAGAATAATTTATTATTCACACCCATCTATTCCTAAAGTAGACACCTAAAATATGTAGCTAGAGACAGCACTCTGAATGCTAACGTGTCAGATGTGATACTGAAATCCATTCTTTAGTGTGTGGCTTAGACAAGGATTTTCAGACAAGAAATGGTACTGGAAAGAGCAGTGACTGGAATAACTTCAGTGGTATTTCTCAACCATTTGCCAGTGAGTTTCATCAACACATTGTTGCTAAAATGAACTTTAGAATTACTAAATTAAATCAAATATTAACTTGAGGTACTGCAAGCATATGAAAGAATGTAGACCTTTACAGGCAACCTGCGTGTAAAAAGGAAAATACCTGTAGAAAAAGACTTAAATCTAATATTTGTCCTTCCAAGGACATTTAATACATGGCTGCTGATCTCTCAGAGATCTCCTTAGTCCATTTTAAACAATTTAATAGAGTAATAATTTTATACAGGAACAAATCTGTATTCACAGGGCAGTGGCTGTGACTGAAGTACCACTGCAGCCCAGCAGCAGTACTTCTCCCTCATGTCACAGCAGCTTCTGCATACAGATGTGCACAGGATGATCTTTGGTAGCAGTCCATAAACCTGTCTAGCCCAAGGGACCCTTAAATCCAGGCTGTTACCTTTTTCTGTAGAATGAAAAAAGTGAAAGCCTGCTTGAGAAGAAAATGCTGCAGGATAGTGGCACGACTCTGAGGTTGACCACAGACCCCCTCACAGCCTTTACTAGCTTCTGCAGAGGCTTCTGCAGCACAGCTGCCCACCTCTGGTACTCAACAAAATCAGCAGCTACAGGCTGAGCAAATCCACTCTTGTGCTTTTCCCTTGCTGGATTTAAAACTTCATCTGACCAGATAATTGAGATTACCATAAAGAGATCAACTTAGCCCCAGCCCAATGAAGAAAATAAATTTGCATAATAATATCCACATGTATTTGAAAACAAAATCTGGCTAGATACAGTACTGACCAGCTATGTTGTAAGCCCTCAATAACAACAGTAAGATCAGCATGGCTTTTGGGGCCATTAAAGAATCGTTAGCATGCGTCAAAATGAACTTCAAGCATGCAGGGGTTCAAAACCTACAGTCTTCACTTACACTTTACACAGATCATTGCAAACACCAGTCATTCAATTCAAAGGACGGATGATTTAACAAAGGAAATTTAAATGTTTTTAGGGATCTCTGCCTTTTTTGACAATAAATTGTCAAAGGGTATTTTTTGGTGTGTGTGTTTTCTGGTTTTTGTTCGGTTTCTTTTGTGGAAGAAGAATAAAACGTTGTCAGTGTCACTTTTGCATTATCTTTTTTAAGCTTTAACTTTATTTAATTAATTACCTAAAGTGGAACTAAATTTTAAAAACATACAAGTAAAACCAAAGAACAAGTAAGGCATTATGCCTACTTTTTAAATCTATCTTGATTTCAAAATGCATACTTTGAGTACCTTGCTCTCCAATGGCTGCCCATATCCTGAATATAAAGTGGAAATTTAATTCCACATTTAAGTTATTAAATATACTTTTTATTAATCTAGAATCAGGTGGACATTGTGGAGCTTTACCACAGCAAAAGTTTTGTTTCCACTGTGAAAAACATTGTCTGCAGTTTTCTTTACAGAGGAACATCAACCTCCAGACATGAAATTCTCCTTATACATACAACTCAGAATAGGTAATGAATTTATTAAAATAAATTAAACACTATACTCATTCTGCCTTATTTATGTGTTTCTTCTACATGGGTCAATGAGTAATATTCCCAATACTGTGACACAAATACAAGAAAATTTTTGAATATTTGGAATGGATTTTATTTTAAATTATCAAGCAGTGATAATGAGTTAAACAGAAAGTAAAAACACAGCCTTAAATAATTTTATCCAGTTAGTTTCCAAATATACCAATGCTGGTTTCTATTTTTTTCACCTGAAATAAAAACCAACCCCAAACTAGAAAAATACTTTTTTGTGTCAGTTTGTACTTAGGAAGCATGAATAGAGGTCTGAAATAATTGTAACCTTTTTTTTATATTATTAACGAGTGATTGAAGAGTAAAACAGACTTTTCTAGCCATTATGGTGGTCACTGTTTCCATAGTAGTAAAATTTTTTTATATTACTTCTGTATGTATAAATAAATATGCAGAACAGTTTTTTAGGGGTGCTAAAGTGAGTGAATATTAACTAATAATTCTGAAAGGTATACTATGAATTATTTAGTGATTGTTCAAAGTTTCACTATTACTTTTAATACAAAGGCTAAATCAAATCACTTTAAGCATACTCCTCTGATTAAAAGCCAGTATCACCATGAAATTAGTCTTTGTCATGAAAGTAAATCAGGTCAGTTATTCTTACATTCTCATGCCTTATTACTAATTTGAAGTCTTCAGTGTTTTAGAGATTTTGCTAAAGTACTTTTAGTAAATGTCAGTTAATGGGATTATAAAGAGAATTTGAGAAAATAATAATTATACTTAAGAAAAAAAATAATCAAAGACTAATTTATTAAGATTTGAAAGCTTTGCCTGTTTGTAGATTCAAAACACAGAAAACTACAAAGGAAAAACATGTTCTGTTTCTTCTCTTGTTAAATTCATCTTAGATCACTAAGCAACCAATACCTAAATCGTAATTAAAATATCAATTGGATTGGAAAAAAAGAGTATGGACTATGGGACAGGTATTGCTATAATCATCAGCAAAGTTTACTATTTAAGAAATCTGTGGCTGTGGACACAAAATAAATATAGAATTCAATATAAGACAAATTTTATCTGAACAATAAATCCAGGTTAGGGGCTGTCCTGGGGTGACTCTACCTTTAAGATAGCTTCGGGAGTTGGGGGAAGTTGAAGCTGCCAGAGGCTGATAGGAGTTTTTTCTCTTGACCAATTACTAGCCATTTCTGAGAACTGACAGTAATTCTGACCATTGAAAAGTGAGATCAACTTGTGAATACCTACCTTAAGACTCAAGACCAGGAATTTCTCTCTCTTTTTTGTTTCCGGCTTCTGACAAGGTAACAGGCTCTGTCTCGGCCTCCTCCCCACTCCCGCTCCAGGCCGGACAAGGCCGCAGAGGGTGGAGGGGGAGAAATGGAGCCGGCCGGCCTGGCTTGGTTTGCAGTTTCTGCTGCTGAACTGACACCATGAACATCTGCAGCATTCCAAGATTTTAATTATTTTACTACCTGGATGAGACTTACAGATTACTCCTTTTTCCCAGAGAGAGGGGAAGAAAAAGAGAGTGGGATAATCAACATGGGGAAGAGAGAATAAGGAGATGCTTTAATAAGCTGAAATATTTTTCTGTTAAAGCTATGGAGATGGACAATAGTGTTCTGGAAAAAACTCCTTTAATTCATGACAGAGTATATTGGGAGGGATGGAGTGTTCAAAGTGTGGATTTTGAGCAAAAGGTGAAGTAGTTGTGATACAGTGAGGTGCTGGAACAGAGGGGAAGGAATAATAGTTGAAAATTTGGGGCCGTAAAGAGGCAAAGAGAAAACTTCTGTTTCCAGAAAGGCTTACAGAGACAGATGAAGAGAACTTTTGCGTTTGAATAACTCATCCTTAAAAATGACATCCCTAGACTCATTGACCCATAACACGCCTCAGAGTGATGTGAAATAGGAGGAGTGAACTGATGGCAGATTTTTTCCGGGCAGCTGGCATCAGAGAAATAGAAAGCTATAACAGAAATAGTTTTCTTGTGAGAAACTCCATAGATTAGCAGAAGAAGACCTCTGTTTTTATGCAAAAACTGATGAAAAGACTCTAGCAGGAATTGGGACTGTTTAAAACACCAAAGTTCCAAAGTTTTTTGTCTCTATGTTGTCATGTAAACAAGGGAATGGTTGGGTAGTGGGGGAGAAAAGGGTTTTCTGGAGGTTTTATTCTGTTTTTCTTATTTATGTAGTTTTGTTAATAAATTTTCTTTATTCCTTTTAAGTTTTAAACCTGTTTTGCTCTTATTCTAATCCATAACTCATAGCAAGAAATAAGTAAGTTTTCTAGTGATTTTTTAGTTACTGCTTTAAAACCATGGCAGGGGCCAACATCACAGATTGATATTCCTGAGACATACTATCTTTATTTCACAATCAGTATAGACAAAAGAAAGATACATGACTAATTAAGTGGATGTTCTCAAATCCTCTCCTGTATAGAAAATATAATTTAATTAAAGCATTCCTATGAGTGCAAGATACATTCTTTGCTAGATTATTGTGCCTTTAGATACTTGTTTGATATTATATCTGAGCATCACAGGCATTTTCCTAATCTTCATAAGCCTCAGAATCCCTGTGAAACACAAGACAATTAGGGCTCAAGTCATTTACCAAACATTGGCATGAAATGCCACCTGAAATGCATCCAGGTACCTTAGACAGCCTCCCCTACAAGTTCCTGACGTGAACAGCTCTGCTACAGGTCCTATGCCACATTTACCAGCTGCGTCTAGACATCCTGGAAGATCTCAGATGACACCTGTGAGCTGACAAGAAAAAAACAACATATTACTGCATTCAAGAAGCATGATGCCTTCCTGCACTGTTAACATATCGGGTGTAAATGCTGCCAACACTCTGCTCAGCACATTTGAGGGGATTCTCTGCTCCTCAGAAGACCAAGTCTCAGAGAATAAGCATGTATAATAATTCATAAAATTTCTCGTTAAAACTTTAGATCATATTCATACAATAAATATGAGCCTGTCCTCAGCTGCTGTCATGACTTTTTTACAGACATGACACACAGGGTGTCCAGTGACACGGAAGAATACACTCAAGGAAGGTGAACCTCACAGCAGAGACTGAGGAACAGTGGGTGGTCTCCTCAGACTCCTCTTTTGTCAAAAAGCATATGAGCCACCTACTAACTGAACAGGCTACCAGATGATGTATCAGCAATCTTAGGAAGAAATGAGCATGAACACTGAGAGAAAGTCTTGCTGCTCTTTGTCCTAAGCAGACACCAATTCAAATACCAAAGTTGTGTCCATTATTTCCAGATTTTCAGGTACCACATTAAACCAGACTTCATGTAATAATGTCAAAGAGTTATTCATAACTTGTTTTCTAAAAAAAACCAGTATCAAACACACACAATGGGCTACTTCTGTGACAAAAGTTTTCTGTCTTCATTGGCACTTGGTGAAACACACTCAGAGTGTAGCAGCTTACGCTTGCACATTAAGACTAACAGATGAAAAGGGCTTTGATCTCCTCATTAAATTCTAGTTCTGAGGTAATACAAGATAGGTGAGAGCAAACAGTGAACTTCATATTACATCTGCTTAACATGTAGACATTCTATGTTTTGAATTAGAGTTCTCTCTTCCTGCAGAAAAGAACCATGATGTCTCAGCAGGAATTCCAGTTGGTCGTCCCAAGGTTATCTGTTGTATGAATGTCCAAAGTGAACCCTAAGCCTAACTAATTATGAAAACTCATTTTTCATTGAATTTACAAGGCAAGACCACAGACAAAATAAATAGGTATTTGGTACATTCAGTGTATGCGTCAAAGCCCTGACACTTCAAATGCCTTGTTTTCATTGTTTGTAATTCACTAGCACCACAAGATCCTACAGTGAGCATTACAGTTGGGTCTGCATCATTTTGTAATAGTGACTTTCAAAGTGCCACTGCCCTGACATTTTGCTAATTTAATTCTAAGTTTTCTTGTCTTCTGTGTGAGCCCACACAAGTCAGTTTCTTGTGTGCAATCAGAGACTGGCAGTGCACATACTTCGGAAAATCTAGCAATGTAACCCTAATATATGAGAATGAGTCTTCCAACCAAACCTGAAATGGCTTTTGGAGGAGTTTACCACAGACAATGTTCCACCTGAATGGTGGATTTAGCTGCCTTTAAAAACCAGTGGAGACAGAGGCTACTGATGAGAACAGAGGACAACAACTGCACAGGAGCGTAACCCCTAAAAAAAGCAGAAAGAAGGTCAAATCAAAAAGGAAGCAAAGGCAAGACAAGGTAAAAAATCAGACCATTGGAGATCAGCAAATGGAGTCAAATGGCCTGACTTTTACATATCTATGTCACACCACTTCTGAGTCAATGAACAGATAAACCAATTATAGGTTTTTTCAGAATTTTGAATCATTAATTAAGGGATCCAGAATATAAAGCCATTTTCCTCAAGTAGAAATGTCACGTAAGAAGTGCCTTTCTTCACAATTAGGTCACTAAAATATATTGTGGCTCAAGACCCTGACGTTCTTTAACCTAGTAAGTTAGAAGGGGAACACCTTTCAGACAAAAGTATTCAGCTTCAGATATATTGCTTCTATTTAAAACAAATTGAATTTTATTCTGCAAACAAAACAGTTTTTCACCATTGCTACCTGAATTCTCCTGTCTCATGATTTATCGCCTACTGCCTTTGTTGCTAAAACACAAATGACCATCATCTCTGCATCAATAAGTCTAAGACCCATAGTTCTTCAGCCCTTAGAAATGACAGTTTTATCAATCACTATTTTGCTCACTAATATATATCCTTTATTCACTACTTTTTCAAAACAAATACTGTAGGTCTCAATAGTTCTTGCAAAGACTTTTTAGTTTATCTTTCATTGGTTGTTTCTAGTATGATTAGTTTTGTGTGGATAAGGATTAAACAGCAAACACATTTGTCCAAATATCTTTACAGAACCAATCATCTCTCTCAAAGCACACAGCAGCTTACATTATTTATATGTTAGTGGTCAGGGTCATGCTGCCAACACATTCTTAAGTTCTTGCTCTCTGGAAGGAAAAAAAATGGAGCATTAAATAATTCAGATATTATTGAAGAGAAATTGGAAGACTTGTTGGGTAAATATCAAAGTAATCTAAGGTTGGTATGTGTAGAAGACATACTGTGCAGTGACATGAGCAGAGTTATTATTTTGGGAACACTTCTGCTTGCACTGCAAAGTTTAATAGACCACTGACTGTGAAATGAGATGTCTTCCACTTACTTTTTTTTTTCCTTGCATCTCTTTGTAATTCTGAACCCTCCTCTTTTGAATAAAATTTCTTAATTATTATTTGGTTTTACTAGCCTCCCAAGTGCAATTAAACAAAATTAATACAAATTCAAAGATAGATAAGCATTCAAATGATGTGCAAAAACAATGGACAAGTTTGATGAGAACAAATTGCTCGAGAGCTCTGTACTTAACAGGCAGTGCATGCTTACTTGAAAAACAGCATGGTATAGTCCAAAAGACACTATTTCAAGTCTGAAAAAAGACCATGAGGGAAGACAGTAAGACTGCAATATAAAATCTTTTGTTCTCATAAAAGATTATTCTTGATGTTCTTTAATGACATCTTTATTAACTGCATATTTAAATTTTCTTGGGGGAGGTATGGGGGAAACTAAGAAAAGAAAGCAAGTAATTGTTTTATTATTTTAATCTCAGCATTATGCTGAGCCTGACCTCAAGATGAGACACTCTCCTTTCCTCTTCTATGGCATGTCACTTGGAGTGTTCATGTGTTACTTTGTCTTCACCACAACCTTAATTGCAGCATCTTTGATTTCACCAGTGCAAATAAAGGCACAGTTCAGGATATGAGACTTAACAATTTTACTTTCCAGTTGAGTATGATAGAACAGACTGTGAAAGAAACAGCCTTAAAGACAATCTAGTTCCAATCCCTTTGCCGTGGACAGGGACACCTGCCAGTAGATCAGATTGTTCAAAGCCCCATCCAACATGATCTTGAGCACTTTTAAGGATGCAGCATCCATAACTGATGATTTCAGTGCCTCACCACCCTCAGAGTAAAGAATTTCTTCCTATTATCTAGCTTAAACCTACTCTCTTTCAGTTTGTTACCGTTTCCCCTTATCCTGTCACTACAAGCCCTTGTCAGAAGTCACCTCCAGCTCCCTGACAGGCCCTCTTTAGGTACTGGAAGGCTGCTCTAAGATCTCCCTGCAACCTGCTCTTCTCCAGGCTGAGCAACCCCAACTCTCCCAGCCTGTCCTCATACAGGAGTTGCTCCAGACCCCTCATTATCTTTTTGGACATCTTCCAGAGCCAGTCAAGCAGCCCCATCTCTTTCATGTGCTTTCTCATATCCTCATGTTCTGCTTCCCTGGATGATCTGATCCCCAGTTTCAAGACCAAAGGCACTTTGGGGGCCAATTTAGCTATTGGCTCAGGCCTATACAAGGCCTAATGTTTAGATTCTCCTCTATTCAGCAATATTCACAAGCCAAAGGAAATCATGTCATTTTCTCATTGTACAGAAGAGTTTAGGTACTATTAATAAGAGGCACAAAACAGAATGATGAATGACTTCCTGCTTAAGTATCCACCAGAATAGATGAAATTCAGAGCCCTTAAAAAACCAACCAAAAATCAAAAAAAGAAACCAACCCTCAAAATCAAAACACATACATTAATTTGCAGGATAACTTTTTCCTCTCCAGATACATCTCAGGAATGACACCCAAAAACTCTATATTGTGTCTACATTAAGTAAATAACAGTATTTTTGTTAAAAAATGGAGGAACAGTGAAAAATCCTATCCTTGTCATACGTTTATTCTCTATACACATGCACAGAATTTTTTCTGAAGTTGGTGGGATACCAAGATTCAAACTCCTATTTTTCTGGATTTAAACCAAAAATTACTCTAAAGTTTGGATTAAAGGGGAACCTGGAATCAAACACTTCTTGGTTCTTCTGTTGAAGGTGTTGCCTATGCAAACATACCACAGGTATTAAACAGCCCTGCACAGCAGGCCCAAGAAATAAAAAAAATAAAAAAGGCTGGACTGCCTTCCCTTTTGAGGCAGTCCAGCTTCTCAGCTTTCCAGGCTGTAACTCCACAGATTACCACAAGAGAACCTTCTATGTGTAAAGCAGAATAACAACCTCTCATATCCCCTGAAAGTTTCCTCAAGACACTAACAGAAAGGCCAGCTGGTGATGTTAAAGTCTGTGAGTTCAATAAACTGTACACTTCAGGAAATTACTTCACTAAAATGGATGGTTTTCTGCTCCTAATGCTGACCATATCAAAAAGGAAAATGTTAGTAGTCCTGTCTCATCAGTTTTGTAATAAAATTGCTTGCTTTGGTAACCTTTAGCCTTACAAAAAGCTTCAAAAATATCTCTCCTGTTTTCTCTTCAATAATAAATCTGACAATAATAAATGGGCCCTGTTTGCTGACCAGAGTCTTTTAAATCACAGTCCTAAATAAAACAAAAGGTTGGACTAAGGAAATAAGATTCACAGAATGAAGAGAGTCTCATTTTAAAATTAAATAACCATAGCTAGAATTCCTTTTCTTAATGTAGCAGAAGTCTCTAGCACACAATGGGAGACTAAAATAATCATGAATACTTACCCCATTTTTCAGAAAGCCTTAATAACTCCGTTGTTTGCAGTAGTTCTTTGAAAATTATGCAGCATAAAAGAGAATAATAATGAACCTTTTACTCCATATTTATTTCTAGCCTTCAGGTATAGATGTTTGGTCCTGTATTCAGGTGACAGGTTTATAAAGCCATGCTAACGCCTGGTCTCACACTTCTAAGAATATGACCCTGAACTTTTCCACTATATAAAACAAATATAAAACTTTAAAAAACATTCCCCCTCCTCTGCTATATCCCTCTTTTTCCTGTGAGAAAAGGCAAAGGCTTCACGTATTTGAGGATTTTATGTGTGAACACAGATGTTCACAAATCAGGTTTCACTTGTACCACCTATGAATTTCAGCATCCTTACCATCAGTAGGTAGTGTCAGCCGGCCTAACCCTGGGACCTTTACCCTCTTCTCTTTGTCCTCTCTGCTCCCACACTACTGATTGACTACTTTCCTCTTCAAAAGCATTAATGAGCACATTACTGGGGAGATTTTTGCCACCTTACATTCTGCCCAGAACTTATTCCCAAATAAGCTCTCTGTCAGCTTTAGAACTAGCAACAATTAGAATTCTCACTATTAATTCTCCAAAACTTTCAATCTATTTTATCAGTATAAAACTTATCATCTTTTCAAAGACAATGAAAAACCATTTTAAAATTCCTTAATAATGCACCACAGAATGCAAAGAAGATCCACATATTCCCTCTGCATGGTAAAGAGGTTTTGGCATTTCCACAAGACAAACCAAATAAATGCTTTTATAAAATTAATCAGTATTTAACATGATGTAAAAACATGTTGATAAATCAAATACTCTAAAAGAGTAGAGTTATTCAAGAGTAAAATTCGTAACTCTAATTTTACACCAAGAAGCAAATCAGTTCTGTTTAAACCTACAAAAAAGTAGAAGAAACGTTAAGGCTGCATTCTTATTTAGTACAGCTATCCTTATGCTCTATAGGAATTTCCAATAGTACTGCACATAGTTAAGTTTGTAACAACCACTCATAAATTATGAAGTATTTCATATCAAAACTATATGCATTAGAAGTCTAATGTCCTTTCTCTTCCCTGGTTGCATGGAAGCATAATGATGCTTTCATTGCATCACCATTTCCTAGATTTATTTTTCTTTTTAATAAGGAACATGTCACTTTCTCTGTAGTGGAGATATTGGAACAAAGAGAAAGAACAGTTCTGCTAAACCTAACCCAAACGAGGTAATGTAAGAACCCCTGTGACTATGGAAAGACCATTCTGGGAATAAAACAAGGATCACAATTTTGGTAATTTGCTAAAATTAATAAGATCACAGGAAAGTATCCATTTACAGTCTGATAAAGTAGGGGATGAAATGCAGATTTTTTCTGGAATGCTTCTTAGAGTCTGGCTGAAAAAGAAAGTAATAGCTAAGGAAAGTATCCCACATTCCAGATACAGGGTGAACACTATACTATAAATGTTAATGAATCAAACATAAATCTGTGAGAAATTGCTACATAGTTTAGGATTTTATCTGAGAAGTAACTGTCATTTTAACATATGTTTTTCGAAAACTGATTTAAAAAAGAAAAATAAAACAAGCTTGCATGTCCTCTAAAACGAAAAGAAAAGCTATAAATAGCTTCCTTTTGTTTGTGATTATTACTGCTCTGCTGTTTAAAAAGTGAAATGAAGTCTTTCATCAAGTCACTTGTTTCATATACATCCACAGATGCAAAGGATCGTTAGGCACCCCCAAAGGATGAGGAGGAAGTCTAGATCATGTTAGAAAGATCAAATATGTCACAAGATTGTGACACATTTGTTATTCCCTTGATATTTTTTGCTGCATAATGACTAATCTGAGAGTTTGCACATTAATGTTTTCATTTCACATCCATGAATGCAACCAACCTGTATCATCAATTGCACACCAGTTGTTCTGGATAGATGCCAAGAAGAGGCCACAAAAAGACATGAATTACTTTTAGCTCTGATTTGCACTTAAGCCATCTAACAGTGATGCCTTGCACTTCATAGATTATAACATCTTTAATTTACTCATTCAGTTACAGTAACTCATTTAGTAACATTAAGCACTATGCCGGAGAATTAATGTGTTAATATTTCATGAAAACATGTGGTTAATTAGCAATTTATTGCTTTAGGGTTGGGGTTTTTTGGTTTCATCTCTGTGTGCAAGCTGTGAGCAGTGGTTCCTGGGAACCACACTCACTGCCACTTAGCATGGGCAGAGCAATACTGGATACTGTGATGGTTTTGTTGTCTGCATAAGGCAGCTAGACCAAGTGGTGATGTGACTGTCTTCTAATCATATGTACCAATATACATGGATTACAACATTTAAGCATGATAAA